AATGCCAATAAATTTCGCAAAAGGTATTACTTACCTTAGCGAGAAGAATTCAATGTATTTAACATCGGCACCGTAATGTTCGCTTCTTTCTTTGTCTTCTTTGTCGGACTTCATTACTCCCGATTTTGATGCCAGATAAAGCAATATTGTTATACAAGTGAGTAAAGCGCTCACGTTTATCACCCAGGCTGGTGAGCTGTTCCTATTCCTCATCGCTTTGACCTTATTCTCTGGACACTAACCATGCATGGCAAGCTCAACGATTTCTTCTCACAACATTGTGTAAGATATTTTTTATGTTTTGTTATCTTGGAAATTGATTTGCAAGCTTAGAGAGCGTGCAAGCAGGTCTTACTGGTGTTTTGTAGAAAAACAATAGCATTCTCTGAAGCAGAGCTGGTGTTTACTTTTGCGTCGCCTTAACAAAACAGGCGGCCATATTCTAGCAATAAAAAACTGAATTAAAAGTTGTCTGTGTATATGCAGGGGGTACAATAAAAATCATAACACTGTCTCAAAAACTCAAGAGCAAAAAATTTCGTGACAGCCGGAGACTAATATAAAAGAGAGGGGAGAGGTTTTTTTTGCACGGAATCAGAATACCTGTATTGCGCCTGTATTAACTCACGCGTAGAACGCATCATTCCAACAAAAAGGTTGGAAAAAAGGGGAGGATCTAGATAACTTTAATTTACAGTATGTGAAACGAGACTAATAAGATTATAACCTGATTGTAATATGGCTGTCGAATCTTTGTGAGCTGTCAGGAACCTTTTAGGTGGGTGTCTTGAGAACAAAAACCCCTAAGACCCCCGAAGAGCCTAAGACCCCCTAAGACCCCGTCCAAATGACTCTGAACTTTATTGATTAGGGTTAGGAAACTGAGTGAATAAACCTTCAGTTCAGTTAACCCAGTATAATGACCTAAATGGAACCTGATTCACTCATATTCCTAACCCTAATCAATAAAGTTAGAGTCATTCGGATGGGGACTTAGGGCGCTTAGGGGTCTTTGCTTTCAAGACATCTCCTTTTAGGTTAATAATAGGCTCCTGGAGCTGCATCATTATGGCTTCTGCTTTAACAGGCAAACAAGGTTAGCGCAGGTAGGGATTACAAATTTTGGGGTGTGTTTGAGCAACTCGCTGGCTACACGATGAGGTACCAGGAAACTTATTTACGTCTTGGTCTTTGTTCTTCTTTGACTTAATTCTGTTAACAATCTTAATTTTCTTACTTTTTTTCTCTACTCAATCCTGACTCTTCTTTACTAACTATTTCAAGTATAGTACAGTGGAACCCCGCTATAACGAAGTGTCACGGTACCGAAAAAAATGTTCGTTATACCGGGGTCTTCGTTATAGCGAAGACCCCGTTATAACGAATTATCCGGTCAACAACAGAAATATTCGTTATAGCGGGGTAATTTAAAATTACCAAAAATTCAATACTACACGTAGAAATCATTACTTTTATTCATTTTATATTGTAAACTATAAGTACAACGGTTGTCAATCGAGACATAAAATTCAAGAACATTTTCAATTTAAAACTTTAAAATTCAGAAGTAACAGTAACATCCGAGGGAAATCATCGATGTCGTTT